ATGGTGGTGGAATTGGACTTGAGTAGTTTCAAATTTTGGGTAATTCAAACTCAAAGCCGCCGCACCCCACCGTGCGGTTTCTACCCATTTCAAACTCAAATCCCATGATTTTTGAGGTGTAGTAGGAAGAGGGAAGGTTGGAGGGTTTTACAATGGTTAAGTTGATGTAATTCCCTGGAAAAAGGGGCGAAATCTCACAGGAAAAACACAAGAGGGCCGATCAAGTCAGGTCCGATACCCGGGTCACGGGATCCCCCTTTCCCCCCTTCTCACCTTTTTCATCCCTTCTTCTCGCCCCATTGGTCCTCCTCCCCTATTCTTTTTCCTCATTTTTCTCCTTTCTATTCTTTTCTTTTAATCACAACCATCCACTTTGTTTCTTCCTTTCATACTAGCCACATACGTGGCTTTTTTACATGGCTCCAGATTTTCTGGAGCCTTCTAAAGTTATTTAAAATTACCAGTTTATCCCCAAATTTAAACGTTAATAACTTCTTTGTTAAAACACTGTTTCACAAACGGTTTGTGCCTACGCTTTCGTGAGATCGAGCTCTATTCAAGCATATAAATTGTGACATCAAAGGGTCTAGGAATTTTAAATAATTAATTTCCAAACTTTAAACCTCGTAACTAGTTTAATTTAAAACTTAACTCACATCAATTACTATAAATTCTTGAAAAATCAAATAAAAGCTCAATACTACAATTACGTTAATTGTAATAATTTCCTAATTCTATTTCCATAACCATAAATCGATTTATTTTCGATTTTCTCTATGTATTCATAATTATGAATATTTAATTCATATACTTAAATTTTTAGGGTATTACATGATTCATAATAGTTAATATGGTATCGAGCCAGCAATTCTGATGTGGAGTTATCGGGTCGTGTTTCTGATGAAGTTTCGAGGTCGAAATTGGGTTCTTGGGTGGTGCTAATCGGAAGTGCTTTCTGGGTTTCTGGCGATGGTATTTTCTAAAGGTGTTGCAGTGTGTTTTGGAAATCTCTATCTCAGGTGAAAAGTTCTGAATTTTTCCCTTTCTGCATCTGTTGTGATCAATTCTTGAACACTTAAGCCAAATGGAAACTTTGTTTATAGGTTCTTTCTTGAAATTTTTCTCTTTGGTAGTCTATTGCTTGATTTAGCTAGACAAATAGTTGTTAGACACGAAGCCATTAGTAACTAAATATTGTGGGCACGAAGACATTTATGTGAATTTCTTTGAAAAGTTGTTGAAATTTGAGGGCACGAAGCCATTCTCTATACAGATTAGTTGATAGAAATTTGTGGGCAAGAAGCCATATCTATGAACTTCTTTGAAGATTTGTTGAAATTTGAGGGCACAAAGCCATTTTTGTGAATTTTTGTGAAGATTAGTTCAATTTCTGTGGACGTTGTTAGTTGAAATTTGAATCATTTCTTGATAATCTGTGATTCTTGAAGTATTGAGAAGATATTAGTTTCTTGATAAAACTATAAATCCTGCAAATAGCAATGGCATCTTCTTCTGTCAAAATTGAAGGGCTTTTGTGAATGTTGACAATTAAGTTGAATGACAAGAATTTTTCGAAATGGGTCTTCCAATTCAAATGTGTTCTTAGTCAGCAAAATTTGTGATTAGCACTGATCATGGTGTTACAAATGAAATTTCTGATGAGTATAAAGAATGGAAGCTGTTGATCTTGCTCTCTTGAGTTTGTTGATTGCTATGTTATCTGATGAGTCTATTGAGCATGTTTTGGGATCTAGGACTGCTCATGAGGCTTGGACTAACATTCAAGATAGGTATGCTTCCATTTTTAAAGCAAGGGTGAATATGCTAAAGACTAAGTCTCAAACTATGCAGAATGATGGTGACTCTATTGATCAATATTTGTCTAAGCTTAGAAGTATTAAAGAACAGTGAAATGTTGTGGTAGAATATGTGACTAATAATGATTTCATTGTTGCTGCTCTGTCTGGTTTACCAAGGGAATATTCTGTGATTAGAACAGTGATCTTTACAAGAGACACTATTATGTCCTTAAGGGAATTTAGAGAGCATCTATTATGTGCAGAAAGGGAGGCTGCGTCTATGGTGAATGGCTTGTCTTAGAATTTTTCTGGAATGTATATGCAAGGGAATGTAGCCTCTACTTCACAATTTACAAAGGCTCAAGGGTCTTCAAGTAATTCTGATGAGGTTGCATATAGTACTGGAAGGATTCTTACACGGATTCCAAATGGAGTACCAATCTTTAGAGTGCCAAGTCAGGGAGAATCATCATCTAATCATGTTATGCATCCACCACCACCAATGCATGCTATGCATCCACTAGCATCAATGTCATTTTCTTCAAATCCTCAAGCAGTGTATCCATCACCATTTCCTGGTAATCAGTTCCCTATTGTGCAGCCTCAACCTCAATTGTACCCTGATTTCTCTAATGCATATGGTTTTGTTGGTAATGGTAACTTTAGATCATCAAACTATGGTGGCAATCGGGGGAATTCATCTGGTGTGGAAGACAAAATGGTGGAAATTGGCAATCATGGTCTGGAAACACTGAAACTAAGCCAAATATAGTTCCTAAATGTCAGATATGTTCTAAGATGGGGCATACTGCTCCAAATTGCTGGAAGAGGTCTACCAATCTGAGTTCAAGTGGATCAATTCTTGAATGTCAAATATGTGGCAAGCAAGGACATAGTGCATTAGATTGTCACCACAGAAACAATTTTGTCTATCAAGGCACCTACATTGACTGCTATGCAAGCTCAAGCTCAAGCCAACTTTCTTCCCAATGATTCTTGGATCATTGACACTGGAGCATCACACCACATGATAGCAGACCTGAATTCTTTGCAGCAAGTTTCTACATATGAAGACAATGACAAAATCACAATAGGCAATGGTGAAGGACAAGGTAACCAAGGCTGTACTATACAACAGAAGGAGCAGTGATGGGAGAAGGTTCAAAGAAAAGACTTACAAGTGCAATATGTCTCCACAGAACATCAGATTGCAGATATTCTAACTAAAGGTTTGCATGGTCTAGCCATCTTCAGACATTGCTGCAATCTCAGGCTTGGTAAACCCAACTGAGATTGAGGGGGGATGACAATTGTAGCAATCAAATAAAGTGTGAGTGTATACTATATCAGCTGCCATGCCAGCTAAATATAATTGAGAATTGTTAGTAGTTAGCTGAGTTGTTAAAGATTAGTTAGAGGTGAACTGTCTAAGTGTAAAATGCTATATATAGCATATAAACATTTACATTTTACGAAACGCAATCTAAAAAGTCATAGCCACTTCTTTCATTCCTCTCTCTCTCTCTCTGTGCAATTCTTCATACACAGTTCTTCATTTTCTTCATCTGATTCATAATAGTTAATATAAACAAGTACAGTCGTGGACTCGCGGACTTTAGGCATAGCAAGTCTATTTCAACAATAATCTCAAAATTTTGACTGAAGCAAAGCTGGCCTGAGGGCTGCAAAGACCCTAAAGCTGGGGGCTCAGGCCGGTCAATTCACATGCAGAAGGCCGGGAGAGAGACTGAAGCCGCTGACCTTAACCGCGCGCATGCACATGAAACGTTTTTGTATACATTCTCCTTCCCTTTAAAGAAACACAAAGACCTGCAGGAGGACCTCGTCCAAAGTCTCTCTCACTATACGAATATTCATGGCGCGCAGTTATTCTTTCCTTTTCACTCATATAACTTTGGCGACACTTTATTTTCTCAAACTTGCCCTATATATACGTTCCACCAAATCCTCCGCCTTCATATGTATATATATATGTGTGTGTGTGTGTGTGTGTGTGTATGTTTCCATTGCACGCATAGAGAAACGACTAGAGACGTTTTATATGGTCAAACGCCAAGTCCAAGTCCTCGTTTCGACTGTCTGGTTTCTGTGTTTCTGAGGTGACCAGTTTAACGTTTATGTGAGGCAGTCGAGACTTCTCAGGCTCTTGTCATGAATTTCAACCCTGGCTTAATTAATTCTCAATTTCTGTCATTAGGGTTCCATAAGTTCATTGAAAAGCTGTGTTTTTCATGTTTTTGTTGTGTCTAAATCACTTTGTTTTCCATGTTTCTGTAACGTTCCTTTCTTTTCCTATTACTCCTTTATCTTGTAATTTGTTAATTGATTTTTTTTAAAACTTTCGTAACCTCTTTGTGGGGTTGGAACTGGGAGTCTTATATGGATGTTCACATTTACCTTACCTTCATACATCTTTCTGATTTGGGTTTTTGGTTAGAAAACATTCTTGCTATATTTTTTTACGGTTAGTGCTGATTTGGACGTTTTGACATCTCCTTTAGAGATGCACTTAGCATGCTTAATGTGCAATCATCAATATTCTTAAAATAAACATATAACACATATATCTAAGCAACCCAAGTTCATCTCTTTAAGCAATGGCTTATAGCCGAAACGATTAAAAGCATGTATTTGTATTTGATTCACCCATTTGATTCACCCCTCCATCCATAAACATAAATCACGTATATATAAATACACAACCAAAATTTTACCTCTTTGCTAAGCAAGGGTTTGTATCTCAAACACTCGAGCAACCATCTCCGACCTGAGATCATGTACGTACTCATGCCGTGTGTGTATATAAAGTTTATAAACAAGTACAGTCGTGGACTTTAGGTATAGCGAGAGTATTTCAACAATAATCTCAAAATTTTGATTGAAGCAAAGCTGGCCTGAGGCCTGAGGCCCTAAAGCTGCGGACCTTAACCGCGCGCATGCACGTGGAACGTACGTTTGTATACATTCTCCTTCAATTTAACGAAACAAAAAGACCTGCAGGAGGCCCTCGTCCAAAGTCTCTCTCTCTCTGTCTCTCTGTGAATATTCATGGCAGTTGTTCTTTCCTTTTCACTCATATAATTTTGGTGACACTTTATTTTCTCAAACATGCCCTATATATACATTCCACCTAACCCTCCGCCTTCATATATATACGAAAGTGTATATATACTACCAATGTACGCATATAGAAACGACTAGAGATGTTTTATATTCTCAAACACCTAGTCCAAGTCCTCGTTTCGACCATCCGGTTTCTGCGTTTGTGAGGTAACTAGTTAACGTTTCTGTGTGGCAGTCGAGACTCCTCAGGTTCTTGTCATGAATTTCAGCCCTTGCTTAATTATTAGTTTCTGTCATTAGGGTTCCTTAAGTTCATTGAAAAGCTGTGTTTTGCATGTTTTTGTTGTGTCTAAATCACTTTGTTTTCCATGTTTCTGTAACGCTCCTTTCTTTGCCTATAATTCCCATCTCTCGTAATTCATTAACTGATTTTTTTTTTTTAAGACTTTGGTGACGTTCTTTGTTGGGTTGGAATTGGGTCTAATATGGATGTTCAATTTTACCATATTTTCATAGATCTTTCAAATTTAGAGGTGCGGTCCTTTTCATGTTCAATTTGTCATCATTTATGATCTTTTTCGCTTTCTATGAGGAGAGACGGAACTAGAAATTTTAAATGCCGTTCATTTCTTTTAGGCAGTAAAAAATTCTCCCCAAATTTCAATAGTGCATCATTTGTTTTTATGACATTTTTCAAGTCACGAGTCTAAGTATTGGTTTGGTACTGAGGTGTTTTTATAAAAAGTGGGTATAAAAAAAAGTTGAGCTCAAAAAAGTGTTTGGTAAACACTTAAAAACAACTTATTTTCACACTTTTGGGTGAAAAAAAAAAACTAAAAACGTGAAGCAACAAAAATGAGTTTATTCTCACAGCACAGCACAAACAGTTTTTTTTCAAAGCACAGCAATACCAAACCAGCTCTAACTACGATAAGTCGGCAAAGTGCTTTTAGATTTTATACTTAGAAAGCAAGATTAATTAAAGTCGGCAAAGTTAGGCATTGAATTGGATGATAAGCATTGGGAACATCGAGCATAGACTTTGGACTCATCAAATAGACAATTTTCACTCCTGTACAAGCACTTTGTAATAAAGTGCTTCAGTACCAAATTTGTTTTTTGAACCAATTCTGTGGTTGCAGTTGCGGGCATGGATATTCCAGTCTCGAAACGGAGGAGGAAGTTTTACAGCAAATTTATCGCAGCTGCCGGCCTAATCACCCTCTGCATTGTCATGTTCAAGCAGTCACATGATTCTAGCAGTCTCAACAAGGTATGTTCCGATTTAATTTTCACTTTGTTTTGATTTTTTTGATGCATTTTCTTTACATTCGACTTGTTTTTGCAGTTCTCTTATCATGAAGCAGGGATCACTCATGTCTTGGTCACAGGAGGAGCTGGCTACATAGGCTCTCATGCTGCACTTAGGCTCTTGAAGGACTCATACCGAGTAACGATAGTGGTATACATCGATCATTCTCGAAAGCTTTTTCTTCGTAATTGTTACAATGCGTGAAAATGTAACTGTCACATTGAAAAAATATTTGCCTCGTAGCCGATGACGGAGTTACACGTATCGTCGCATGACAATGGCAACTTGGACCGTGACTTAATGAGAGATAAGGGAATGCATATGGGGCTCCATGGTGAGATTGCTCAGCACGCAATCGTTTCAGAAGAGGATATGTGCCTAGGATTTGGAGAAAATATACGAGATGGTTGTTTTTGGTTGTATTGCTATTATTTTTGCCAAGAGTTTCTTCTAGGAAAGTGCTATTTTCTTTCCTTTTTTGTAGAAAATTTCTCATTTATGAAACGTGCAAGATGAGAATTCAGAGATGATTTAGGTAGTAGGGTGTAAGCAAAGAGAAAATTTGGTAGCAAAGAAAGGTAGGGTGTTAGAAATTTGGTAACAAACAAAACCCTATATGTGAAAGCCAATTATTCAATCTAAGAATTCCACCAAAAAAAATAAAACAAACCATTCAATCTTAGACAATTTTAATCACAATAATGTTGGATAATTACATTTGTTGGTGACAATATATATCACATTGAAGATATAAATAACTGATCAAAATAATTGATACAATAAGTATATAACCTACTGATGCATCGACATATAAGTACTCAATGTAACAATATTTTTTTATATCAACCCTCTTTTGTAGCAAAATAACATTGTTGATAGTCCGTTTACGGAGTTGTTATTGACATCCTAGTAAAAAAACAAAACAAAGAGAGGTGAACGATGATTGTTTGGAAATGCTGATAACCATTCTATTATTTTAATCTATAAAACCTAGGGAAGACTTGGAAGTGCTTTCAAGTAGTGCTTGAGAGTTGAGACGATTAAGGAGAGAACCTAATTAGAATATGTTTTTACACATAGTAACACTGTGTTTAAATATAAAAAAATTGAAAAGAAAATATATGGAAAAGAGAAAAGTTGGAGAGAAATCTGTGAGAGAGAAAATGTGGGGTTTTTTTTTAATTTTTTTTTTCTAAATTAGAGTTGTTATGATGACATCTAGGTGAAAAGTTAAAAAAAAACGCAAACTTTGATTTGTGCAAAATTACATTATTACACATGATTTTATTTTGTGTTATAAATTAAATTGTCTTTTCACTTTTTAGTTGACAAAGAAGATTTTGTTAATAGGCAGTTCAAATTAGGATACGGGATAGGACTAAGGAGTAGGTGTTTAGTCTTTTTCTCACTTGAAGAATTAATTACATATAAATCATGCATACGTCTTTTTCATATATAATTTCTCCATCCCAGATTAAAAATAATTAGTTAGGAGAAAATATAATTGTTAAGAACTACAATTAGTGGAACTCCAACAGAAAAAAGAAAAAAATTGTCACATCCCGGTCTAGGCCTTCACCACATCCCGGGCTCAACTCCACTGTAACATGATATTGTCCGCTTTGGACCCCTACCACACCCTTACGGTTTTGTTTTTGAGAACTCACACGATAACTTCCCAGTAGGTCACCCATCATGAGATTGCTCTCGCGCGATTTTGAAAATCTGTGTTCCGACCTCTCACTCTTTCTATTTTTGCATCCCTCCAAGTTCTAATAGCAAAGTTCCGTATCGACGAGGACTTGTGGCACTCCCAGTTTAGGTGGCTCCTTATGATGGTATAATCATTATCTTACCTTAGTGTGCTTAATTATGCTCTGTATCACGCGTAAAATTGGTCTATACTCGCTCACCACGTATTTGTGTATATTGGCACTTTTAAGTTTAAATTTATTCACATTTTACACATTATCACATTTTATGGCTTCGTCACCTTCCAGGTATCGGCCAGCACAGCTCGATTCGGAATCATAGTGGACTTTCCGGATCGCGATGTGTCAAAAACCATTAGAACATCTTCAAAGGATATGTCAAATTTTAAACATAAAATTTAAATTTAAAAGTGTATGACACTTTGACATCTTTTAAAGTTTTGATCTCCACCAATATTTTAAATTAAAATATCATTTTATTACTTTAAGCTATTACAATAAATATTTATATATATATAAAAGCAATAATCAAATCAATAAAATACATTTAATAATCAATTAAAAAAAATTTGAAGATGCTATCAATTTTGGCAGCAAGAGTGAGAGTTGTCAATCCACATCAGGCCACATCAAATTTGGGTTTTCCGTTGGAAAACATTATTGCTACATTTTTTATTGTTAGTGTTAATTTGGACATTTTGACATCTCATTTAAAGATGCACCTAGTATGCTTAATGTGCGATCATCAATGTTCTTAAAATAAACATATGACACAGATATATCTAAGCAACCCAAGTTCATCTCTTAAAGCAATGGCTTGTAGCTAAATTGATTAAAAGAATGTACTTGTATTCGATTCAACCCTTCATCCATAAATATATACCACATACATATAAATACACAACCAAACTTCTACCTCTTTGTTAAGCAAGTGTGTATCTCAAGCAGTGGAGCATCAATCTCCGCACCTGAGGTCATGTACGAACTCGCGCCGCGTGCGTATATAAACAAGTATGGTCGTGGACTTTAGGCATAGCAAGAGTATTTCAACAAAATCTCAAAATTTTGATTGAAGCAAAGCTGGCCTGACAGCTACAGAGACCGTAAAGCTGCGGGCTCAGGCCGGTCAATTCACAGGCAGAAGGCCGGGAGAGAGGCTGAAGCCGCTGACCTGAACCTCGAGCATGCACGTGAAATGTGTCTGTATACGTACTCCTTCACTTCAACGAAACACAAAGACCTGCAGGAAGACCTCGTCCAAAGTCGCGCTCTCTCTCTCTCTCCCCCCGAATATTCATGGCAGTTATTCTTTCCTTTTCACTCATAACTTTGGTGACACTTCTTTATTTTCTCAAACTTACCCTATATATACATTCCACCTAATCCTCAGCCTTCATATATATATATATATATATATATAGCCAATGTAAGCATACAGAAACGACTAGAGACGTTTTATATTCTCAAACACCAAGTCCAAGTCCTCGTTTCGAAGGGCCGGTTTCTGCGTTTCTGAGGTGACCAGTTTCTGTGTGGCAGTCCAGACTCCTCAGGTTCTTGTCATGAATTTCAGCCCTTGCTTAATTATTAGTTTCAGTCATTAGGGTTCTTTTTTTTTTTTTTTTTTTTTTTTTTTGGAACAAACGATATTATCTACCGTAATAGGGAGGAGTAAAGGGAAGGGATAAGCTTAGCCTTACAATGGGCTAGCAATAATGCAATTGAAATTTGTCTTTGGCAAGAATCGAACCTAAGACCTCTCACTTACAAGTGAAGAAGAATACTATTAGACCGTAGTACTAAGTGACTTAGGGATGAATAAATTTAATATTACTAAGGAATTTCAAAGTGACGGAAATTGAGTGACTTAGGGATGAATAAATTTAATATTACTAAGGAATTTCAAAATGACAGAAATTGAAACGACGAGATTTTATATTCTAGAATTTGTGAATTTTCTTGTTTGGTTAACTTAAAAGAACAATGAAATTGAATACGGAATTTGTTATTTTTAAACTCTCAATCATAGATATTGAGAAATGACACCTATTTACATAGAATTTAAACTTGAGCATTGGAGGTCCCAAATTCCAAGTTTTTTTCCACACAGAAATTCCAAATTTCTATGGTTATTGATCCAAATAAGGGAATTGGTGCATATCAATTTATAAATTCTAACTTTTACCCAAATTCTAAGTTTATTTCCTCATTCAAACATAGCGTAAAGTTCACTGGAAAGCTATGTTCCATGTTTTTGTTGTGTCCAAATCACTTTGTTTTCCATGTTTCTGTAACGTTCCTTTCTTTGCCTATGACTCCTATCTCTTCTAATTTATTAACTGAATTTTTTTATACTTTGGTAACGTTCTTTGTTGGGTCTTTATGGATGTTCAATTTTATTATACTTACGTAAATCTTTCTAATTTAGAGGCGGGTCCTTTTCGTATTCAATTTATTCATTTATGATGTTTTTCGTTCTCTACACCAGAAATTTTAAGTGCAGTTCTTTTCTTTTAGGCAGTAAAAAATTCTCCCCAAATTTCAGTAGTATCATTTGTTTTTATGACATTTTCAGGTCACGAGTGTAGCTACGATAAGTCGGCAAAGTGCTTTTAGATTTTAGACTTGAAAGCAAGATTAATTAAAGTTGGCAAAGTTAGGCATTGAATTGGATGATAAGCATTGGGAACATCGAGCATAGACTTTGGACTCATCAAATAGACAATTTTTACTCCTGTACAAGCACTTTGAAATAAAGTGCTTCAGTACCAAATTTGTTTTTTGAACCAATTCTGTGGTTGCAGTTGCGGGCATGGATATTCCAGTCTCGAAACGGAGGAGGAACTTTTCCAGCAAATTTATCGCAGCTGCCGGCCTACTCACCCTCTGCATTGTCATGTTCAAGCAGTCACATGATTCTAGCAGTCTCAACAAGGTATGTTCCGATTTAATCTTCGCTTTGTTTTGATTTTTTTGATGCATTTTCTTTGCATTCGCCTTGTTTTTGCAGTTCTCTTTTCATGAAGCAGGGGTCACTCATGTCTTGGTCACAGGAGGAGCTGGCTACATAGGCTCTCATGCTGCACTTAGGCTCTTGAAGGACTCATGCCGTGTAACGATAGTGGTATACATCGATCATTCTTGAAAGCTTTTTCTTCGTAATTGTTGCATGATTCGTTGATTTAAAACCCTTCTGAAAATGTTCACAGGACAATCTCTCTCGAGGAAACATCGGTGCTTTTAGGGTTCTTCAACACTTGTTTCCAGAACCCGGGAGGCTTCAGTTCATATACGCTGACCTTGGAGATGCAAAAGCTGTATCCTAATTATGCTTCTTTTGTACATTCTACTTTAAACTAATCTAATATGCGTACAAGGTAAATTGAACTCGGGTGAACAATGTGTTGGACATTCCTTGATTCTTGTCTTAGGTCAATAAAATCTTCTCAGAGAATGCATTTGATGCTGTCATGCATTTTGCAGCTGTTGCTTATGTTGGGGAAAGTACAGTCGAGCCTCTTCGGTATTCGATCGTCAATTTCGCGTTAATTAGGTTTTCTTTTCGTCTCTGTTTACCTGGTAATGACATACAATTAGTGTTCTGCTGCAGATACTATCACAATATCACATCAAATACCCTGTTGGTTTTGGAGGCAATGGCAGCACACAATGTAAAAACATTGATCTATTCTAGTACTTGTGCAACTTATGGTGAACCTAAGAAGATGCCGATCACCGAAGAAACCGAGCAAGTGAGATTTCGTAACACAGTTTTAGTTGTCAGTTAATCATGTGTTAACTGCAAAGTTCAAATATTGTGTTAGTATATCAAGCCAAATACAACACAGATTAATAGTTGTATCAAGATGTGCTAATTTTCGAAATACTCAATATGTATAGTTGTACGAATTCAGGTCCCAATCAATCCATATGGAAAAGCAAAGAAGATGGCAGAAGATATCATACTAGACTTCTCCAAAAACTCAAACATGGCAGTCATGATCTTACGGTAGGCAGCGAATTCTTCTTAATTCCATGAAAAGTGTTTGTGTGCGCACAAGCGTTTCTGAATTCAAAATGTATATTTTGGGTATAACTGAAGCTAACATATGTACGGTTATATATCCAGATATTTTAATGTGATAGGATCAGACCCGGAGGGAAGACTAGGAGAGGCTCCTCGACCTGAGCTACGTGAGCAGGGACGAATATCTGGTGCCTGTTTTGATGCCGCTCGAGGGATTATTCCTGGACTGAAGGTACCTTTCTCCCTCCGTTCCCCTCCTCTTTTTCAGTACACTTTTTTAGGCCAAAATCCATGTGAGAAATTGAATTCTTTTGTGTATGTCATTGATTCTAGGTCAGAGGAACAGACTATGATACAGCTGATGGTACTTGTGTGAGGGACTATATTGATGTCACTGACCTGGTGGATGCTCATGTGAAAGCTCTCGCCAATGCAAAACCGGGGAAGGTTGGGATCTACAATGTGGGCACTGGAAAAGGTCAAGAAATCTGTCATTTGCGTTGAAATTATTGTCATCCTTTCCTTACCCTTGCCTCGCTGGCCCCGCATTTCCTGAAGTTCTTTTTGATCATTTTGATCACAGGTAGTTCAGTGAAGGAGTTTGTCGAGGCATGCAAGAAGGCGACAGGAGTGGACATAAAGGTTGAATACCTCAGCCGAAGGCCAGGGGACTATGCTAAAGTTTATAGTGATCCTTCCAAGGTAAGGCAGGAGTTGAATTGGACAGCCAAGTACACACTTCAAGAAAGCCTACAGATTGCATGGAGATGGCAAAAATTGCATTTGAACGGCTATGGTCCTTCTAATACTTAGGTTAAAAGATACCAGATATATCGTTGTGGAAGCCGGATGTTGCTCCATTGAGTTGAACATGGATTTCCTTTTACTTGGAACATGTTGTAAATTTCCAATCGGCAAGGAAGAAAATCTCTGGGTTTGTTGAGAGAATGGACAAGAGTAACCCTGCTTGTGTTTTCTGTTCCTGTACTTTGTTCAACCCCAGAAAAAGAAAAGGAGAGGATTAGATATTTCCTTGGTGATATATGAGTTCTCTATTCAAAAGTAACACAAGTCGTTTGAATGCAACTGAGGAACAATTGATAAAATTACAAATGAATACTCCGTGTGATTATTTACTGATAAATGCTATAATGTTAATAGCTTAGCGAGAGCGAAAAGGCTGTTACCATTTGTCATAGTTTGTAAATCTTTGTCAATCATAAGGTGTCGACAAGTAACTGGTGTTTCTCATCTCTGTGGTTAGACTCTTCAATATGCTTGCAAGCTCTGCTGTTCTGGGCTGCGCCAGATCATCGAAGAGAAAAGCATGTTCCTGATTTCTGACTTCAATCCAACTGCAGCCTGGCTGCTTCTCCGTGCTACTTTCTTTCATTAATACCCTGACTCTTTCAACCTCGTCCCATCTGCCGGCCTCAGCATGCATGTTCGACAAGAGCACATAATTTGAAGCTTTATCGGGTTTAATTTCTAAAAGCTTCTCAGAAGCAAACTTTCCAAGTAGTAGACTCCGGTGTATCCTACAAGCTCCAAGTAATGCACCCCATATTCTAGCAGTTGTCGTGATCTTCATATTCCTCACCATTTCAAAGGCTTCCTCTAGCCTCCCTGCACGACCGAGCAGATCAACCATGCAAGCATAGTGTTCGGCAAGAGTTTCAATAAGGTAAACTTCAGTCATGCTCTTAAAAATTTCTAAACTGCAGCTCAACCAACCCACTGTGACTGCATGCTGATAACACCACAACAAAGGTCACCTGATCTGGATTCATCCCTTCTATTAGCATCTTTTTGAAGAACTTTACTGCCTCTTCACCATCTCCGTTTAGAGCATACCCAGATATCAAAGAATTCCAAGAAACAATATCCCCACACTTGATATCTTCAAACACAAGATTAGCATCCACAACTTTCCTGCTTTTAGCATACATTGTAATCAGGGAATTGCTGACAAACAAGTCATTTACATAACCACACTTCACAACCAAATGGTGAAGTTTCTTTCCAACTTGTAAAGCTGCAAGATTGGCACACGCACTTAGACCACACGCAAAAGTCAACATCAGGCCTCTTCCCTTCCTGTCCCATCTTCACAATGCTCCTTAGTGCATCCAGATATAACCCATTTTGCACATAACCTGCAATCAGAGAATTCCACAAAACTACGCTCCTCTCATCCATCGACTCAAAGATTTCAAGCTGCTTTATCCATTTGTCCTGTTTGAGCATGACCAGTAATCATAGTATTCCAAGAAACAATGTCCTTGTTAATCATTTTTCGGAAAAGAGATAGAGCTTCAACCATTTTCCCACACTGAACATAGCCTGCAATCATTGTGTTCCAACAAACAGCATCACAGGATGGAAATGGGACTGAAGATCTCGCTTGCTTCATCCATCCTTCCATTTTGCACGTATCCAAACATCATTGCTGTTTGTGCTGCAATGTTCTTGTATGGCATTTGGTTAAGCAATTGCCTTGCTTCATCAAGCTTACCAATACGTACATACCCATTGATCATTGTTGTCCACGACACGGAATCCCTCTCAGGCATCTCCTTGAATAATTTAACAGCCTTGTCAATTTGGTGGTCTCGAACATAGGCTCCAAGCATTGCATTCCAAGAAACTACATTTCTACTTGGCATCTGGTCAAAGAGATCCTCTGCCTTTGCAATCTCCCCATTTTGCGCAAACCCACATAACAGCGTGACCCAAGAAACCACATTTGGGTCTGGAATCTTCTTAAAGAACTTCCAAGCAGAATCCAAATCACCAACCTCAACAAACCCATCCAACATCAGATTCCACGAAACCACATTCCTCTCAGGCATTTCCTCAAAAAACCTCACTCCCAGCCGCATCTCCCCATTTTTCGTATACCCTGCAAGCATTGAATTCCAGGAAACTAAATTTTTGGCCGGCATTTATCCAACAAACCCTTAGCCTCATCAACCTTCCGCTTCTTTGCATACCCTGCAATCATTGCATTCCAACAAGCTGCATCCCCCTTATCCGGAAGCAAATCAAATAGCTCTCAAGCTCGCCACTACATGTATAGCAAGATATCATCAAAGTCCACGAGTAAAGGTCTCTTTCCGGCATGTTAATAAAAATCCTATAAGCTTCCTCGACCTCGCCATTGTGCAGGTACCCGGAAATTATAGTGTTCCAAGAAACCAAGTTTCTTTGTGGCATTTGATCAAACAGTTGGCGCGCGTTACCAACTCTACCATTCTTAGCATAAGCAGAGATCATAGAATTGTATGTTACTGTGTTCCTCTGAGTCATTTGTGAGAAAACTTTAACCGCTTCGTCGATCCTCCCAGACTTCCCCAACCGGGTAATCTTCAGAATTTGGTTGAAGACTTGGCTTCCCTTTTCACCTAGTGATCTCAGCCTCATTTGGTCTTACTGGTGGCGACTCGGAAGAAAAAAGTGCTGCTTTGTAGTTTGAGCAGTTGAATGTCAGTTGTGTTATAGTTAAATTTTGAAGAGAAGTGTTATTCGCACTCCAAATAAGTGATGCACTTACATTTTTTGAGAGATGCGTTATTCTGAAACGTAACCTAGAACTACAGAAGAGGATTCGAACTTGGCTACGTTATTTTTAAAATCTTCTAGTTATCATTTTAGAAGGAAGGTGATTTCACACTCATTTTAACTTCTCGGCATTCTCGCACATCTCTTTTTATTTCTGACCATCTGACTAAATAAAGAAAACACCGAACAGATTAAATAAGAGTGTGTAAGAGGCTAATAAAGACGGGTAATTATTATTTTCCTTTTAACAGCATAGAAAACAAACGAAATTCAAGAAAGGACTAATCTTTCTCCTTAAATAAGAATATGAGACGGTACAAAGTCTTCCTCAACAGCAAAAATCCCCCCTATCAATATCACATCGTCTGATGCAGATCAAAACTTCTCTCTAACGAGGCAAAGCAGAAAATCGATCTGTGCCCCTACGTAATGTGGGTACAAGATGATAGCAGTATAAGTAACAAGAGAGATGTAGTTCTTGAGCAACTATTCTTCAGACCGCCAAACGGCAGCTGAAAACCATGCTCAACTCTACTCTTTTCTTACGTCTGAAAATTGCAGGTGCATTCTCCCTTCTTCCGTATCGATGCCAATCCACGGTGGTTGGGAAGGCAGTTCACTAAGGCTAATTGACATGTCAATGAGATTAGATCACAGCTCATCGTGACCCTCAGACTCAACTTTTTCATTTGCTGAGTCATCTGAGTCTCCGGCTTTCTGGTCATCTTGTGAAGAATTATCAGAACTCGAGTCAGAATCCTTAGCTTTTTCTCCGCTGCTCTCGGTTTCATTGCTTGTGTGTTTCTCAATTTTAGGCTTGGGCTTGGGGATTCTGTTGACTCTAGCAACCTAGACAAAGATAAAGTCATCCATAAGAGCATTACAATCGTATAGAAATAGCTCGGGATCGCATTTCCATTTATTTTCTCAACCAGAAACAGATACGAAATGATACCTCATCTTCCAGATCAAACACCTTCCCGAACACTTCATCCGATGTGAATGCTGGTTTGCTATGTGCAGGAGTCCTTCAAGGTAGAGAAAAATTAGGTTAAGCACATTGAAGGACTGCCCTAAACTTGTTATCATACTTATAGTTATTCAAGGAGAGCAGACTGGTTATCAGTCGGTAGACAAAATCAATTTGAAACAAATCATGAACCAGGTGAAATTATGCACTTAAATTACTGCTAACTGCAGGTTTTTTTTTATAAACGAAAAGAGCAATAATTTCAAACCAAATAAAAAATCAGCACAAACGTGCAACACAGTACACATAGTACATTCAACACTCGTAAACATAAAGCAACATATCAGGCAAAGCGAAATGGGCTTTCTCCGCATGATTCCTAAATGGGAAACTTTTATTTTACCCCCCTTCAGCATGCCTTGTTTTAATTTACTACACTGTACGCGTATATGTAAACATCACTAATAAGCATGTAAGATTATATGCGCATGCATAGTTGACATCAAGAAGTTACCTTAATAATGTCAAAAAAAAAAAAAAATCAATGCAGCAACGACAATTACTTACTTTTTCTGCGCATCCTCCTTCTCGTCCAACCACTTCTTCAACTTGTCAGCATCACTCGCAACCTGGAAACACACATAAATTTCCCACACCTTAAGCATCAGAGGCCGTCAAACGCACCTAAATTAGATCATTACTACAACTACTATTTACAAATTCACAAAGAGTTTAAGTTGGATCATGTATGATTGAAGCACCTCATCTGTTCGATCTTTCGGAATCCAGGGTTTGTTTGACTCCCATCCACGTAGAATCTGCAAACATTGAGGAGGAAAAGATAAATGAATATGTCACATCTCATAGTTTACTAAGGTCATAAGGGTAATGGTGTGAACTTTATTGCAATAGCAGAACAGCTCTTTAAATATTAATGGTAATTGACCTTTTATGGCAACTGTTTCACATGTAAAACTAAAGTCTATTTATTTGTTTAGTAACGATACGCCCGAGTTCAATTACTAGCATGTGATAATAATCTATAATTTATAATAATAAGTGTCTGAATTACCTGTTGCACTTCAACAAGGTACTTTCGAGCGTGTTCCACTGCTTCTGGCCGAGCAGTGAGCTCTTTGAATCTGCACCCAAGAATTCATCAGATCAGATACATTGCATTCACTTGACACAGGACTTAACTATTAGAAATTCATACATCTGAGAATTATAGATCACACCCAAAATTTTGAGGATTATAATGCAGTGGGGGTAGCAGAACTATGGGGTAGAGTAAGATACTGGATATCAGTTTCGAATGAGTTCAAGGATTATTCCCTTTCTCATACAGTGTGGGATATGTTAGCAGCTGTAAAATGATTTTGGTTGAGGTTATGTTACTTGTAATCAGATCTGTTTGAGAGGTCTTAGCTAGCTTGGCTACATGGTGGATTTCTTAACCACTATTTTGTAATTCTTGTTTTTATTTATAAAAGTGTTATCGTTTCTTCTCAAAAAAAAAAAAAAAAAAAAAAAAAAAGACCACACCCAATTATTTTTCTTGGTGAACGCATTAGTACCCTCAGTTAAACTTAAAGCAAAAATATACCTGAAGAATATCAGATCACCAATAGCTTTTAGCACATCTAGGCGTTCCTGAAACTCTGAAGCAGTAGCATCTTCACCATCGGTGTAAAGCCACTCTTGCACCTAAGAAAATGGATAACATGTTAAATAGAAAAATTAAGTCAAAGATATATGATGAAGCAGAATTTTGTGGTGCATAAAAGAAATCCTACCTCATCTAGCTTCCAATAAAGGATTGGCGTTCCTGACTAGTTGAAACCTTTTCATATTCCTCAGATGTTTCAAACTGGTATAAGAAAGAATTCATTAAAAGGTTGAAACAAGAACAGTATTGTTGACCTAAAACTTTAAAATAGGGAATCTAGCACTAGAACAAAATAATTTGGTCTATCAAAGCAAAAACACAAGGAGAAATAACATTAGATTCAATACAAAGCAAATCAATGCAATATCCTCAGATGCATGATATGAGAGAAAATACAAAACAAACTACATTAATAAATTCAGTCAAACAACAATTGCAAGGGCATGATATAAAACCAGAAATATTTAGTAACATCGTAAATATTCATGAAAAACATATTATACAATGAAGATGGTTTCTTATGCCGAGAAGAAAAAAATAGTCGATTGCACCTACACACCTTTTCTTTGGTACCATATATGTATCCTTCCAAGGTATTTTTCAACTCTGCCGTCCTCCTCCGCTCTGCATCCTTCTTGTCTAATTCTTCTAATTTACGTTTTGCTTCAGCAAGAGATTCCTTTGAAGGAGACATCGCAGGTCCGACTGTTTTCTCGACAATCTACAATATATAAAGGAGTTAAGAGAAGATACGAGCTTCTATTGAGCTGTTGAGAAGCATGAAAGAACTTTAAGAGGATTAACTAATAAATATATACCTTCAGTGGAATCCTAAAGGTCCGCTTTTTCAGCTTTTTTTCAATAACGATGTCTGTTTCTACTGTAGAGTTGGAACTGTTACTATTTCCACCATCATCAGTATTGCCATTGCTTTCTTTTGATGTGTTCTGAGCACCAGTTTCAGTCGATATGTTGGGTGCAACATTAGTTGAATTCTCCTGAGTAGTCAGATTCTTCTTAGGAACTTCTACCCATTCTGACACTTCAATAAAAGCATCTGCACGATCCAACGACAATACACCACTTCTACTCAAAGAGAAATGCAGACTTGCTTTAATGGGTGAAGACAAATTTCGTGATGCATACCTAAATAAAATGGAAAGGACAAAGATAAAATGTTGTCAGTGTTCATCTCATGCTTTTGCATGGACATATAGGTAGAACTTCTTTAGAGCACTGCAGAATAAATTGTACAGAAAGAATCTGGAAATGCAAATCCTTACTTCTCACTTGTCTCTGTCAAACTGGACACAGAGTACTGAGCAAATACAGGAGAGGTGGCACCAGGGGGTAAAAGGTCTTCACTCTCGTATGCTAGTGTCACTTCAAAATCTTTGCTCTGGATAAAGGACCTGAACATCTATTTTATAGCAAACCAAAACATAGTGAGTCAACTTAGCGGGAAAAACTATAAAATAAAACCGTAACACTTGCTATTTTTTTCCATGTTATGTACCTTGCTGGGGAGTTTCTTCATCCGTTGCACAAGTGTCTGCCTAGTGCTATCTTCTTTCTGAAGATCAGGGCCATCTAACTCAAGCACAAACCCATAGGTAGAACCATCAATCATCCCTAACTTACGGTTCAGTTTGATTCCATCACTTAAATTAGCAGCATATAATGCTGCACCAAGAACTGTAGCTTCATCAGCATCCAGATGTCTATCCAACTCTTTCCTTCCAAGATATTCCTGAAGCTTAGCCTGTCATTAAAAAAACAGAGAATTCCTTCTTGTGATCACTCTTTATAAAAACTCAGATGACGAGATTCAATTGGCAACACTAATAGCAAGGTGATGTAGGACATCACCATAGAGCAAAAGGGAGATAGTATAGGTCAAACCTGCAACTTTGGCACCCTAGTAGCTCCTCCTATCAGTTCCACTGCATATATCTCATCTACCTTTAAACCAGAATGCTTGAGCACTTCCTTAAGAGGTATTAGCGACTTCTCCCACAGATCTTCGCAGAGCTCTTCAAACTTTTCACGAGTTATCGTGCTCCTGAAAGGGAAATAAATAGTGTTCAGCTTGTTATCTTGGACATCTGACACAAATTGCCAGAGTACACAGGGTGAAAACATATGTATCTTTAGAAATTTAACATAGCTTATTTTCCACCAAATCTAGAAGGGTAAACCAAGCTTTTTATAATAAAACTTACATCAAGCAGAGCATAGCAGTGGAATAAATAGTAATTAATAATAGAACTTCCAACAATGGCAACAAAGGCATCACAAAGAAACCTATCTACATAAGTTGCACAACTACATAACGATTATGTTCAGTACTACTACGTTGGACAACTAAAGACAAATTCCAGCGCAATGTCAAAAGTATTTAAATTCAAACACTTAACATAGCCTATTTTCCACTGCTCTAGAAGGGAAAATCATGAAATTAAAAGCCTATATCAACCAGAAGAATGGCAACGGTAAAAATAATAGTTAATGAAAACTTTCAACAGTGGCATCCCAAAGGCACAGCCACATGAACAAAAATTGACACATGAACTCCTTTCACCATTCTGCTCATTGCTTCCACTAGTTAAATTAATATAAATAAACCATGATAAAGGAACTTTGGAACAAGGATAATAGAGTATAATACACTTTAAATTCCACCAACCTGAAGTCCTGATCATCATAAAGGGATTCAACAGATATTGGAGCCATTTTGTTTGCACTTAGAATTTCTTTTGTACGCTTGACCTGTTTCTTCAATTTAGCCATTGCTTTTGGAGACTTCCTCACATCAACACCGCTCCCTACTTGTTTATTGAACTGCTCTGCAAAATACTCCACCAACCGTAATTCCAAGTTCTGGCCCCCAAGTTGTGGGTTCCATCTGACATCCTTGACCTGTACATGAGAAATGAGAATAAAATTTAAAAGAACTGGCTGAGATAATTGCGTATCACATGAGAATCAAAAGTAACCTATGCTTCCGTAAATAGAGGAACACAGAGTGAGGAAATTCGCATTGGTGGATTATTTACACTCGGTAGATGTTATTGTGTTATTGTGAAACCAATATAACATGTGTAGAATGTAACTATGGAAAGCATCGGTTCAAAATATTACATGTTGGAAAACAATTCGAATTGGAATGAAATTACCTGAAACTGGTTGACTGACACGGTCTTTCCAAACTCCTTGGCATTATACGCCGAGAAATAAACAAGTGCCGCATAGGTACTGCTGGTGCCCATATCATAGAAAATTACATGCCTTGACTCATTTGAGAAATCCTTGTCAATCCCATACTGCAATGCTGCACCAGAATGCTCATTTATCAAAGCAAGAACATTAATCCCCACCAACTGTGCCGCTCGGAGTAACCCCTTTCTCTCTGCTTGCCCAAAGTACGGAGGAACTGAAATTACAGCATCCTTTATAGGCACTTTTGAATGAAACTCTGCCAAATTTGCAGCATAACCTAAAATCATCGCCACTAGGTCCTCGACTGAATAAGTAGTCACTTTATCATCAATTTTGAAAATAACAGTTTCCATAGTATCCTCTGTAACGTCAAATGGCAAGTACAATGAATCCAAAAGGGTTTTGCTGGAACTAAAGGGTTTTCCAATCAAGTCCCTTGTTTGAGAGTAGACTTTCTCCGGGTACCGAGCAACCAATCCAGCTGCTTCCTCACCAAGAAGGCGGTCACCAGAATGAAATGCAACCAAGTTAGGGGACTTTCGCTTCGACATCTCGTTAATAGCGACTGTGATTGGGCTCTGCCCGCGCTTAAGGTTCACTACCGCAACTTTCACCCATTCAGAGCCTAGATCTATACTCATAACCGCACATTGAGAAGGCAAAAACATGAGGCAAAGCACAGATAGGAATAACCCTAGCTTGATTACAATTGACGCCATCCTAGATTGCATCAGGTAAACCCTAGGACTTCAAAGCTTCGTCTGAAAAAACACAATAACAAAAATTGACAAATATTAGCATAAAGATTCAATTTTTCTAACTTGCGACTGATAAAACAAATAAAAAACAGTTAATTTATACGAGAGTTTACAGTTTGTATACTATTTGGGAACGAAGAAATGGAAAGCGGGAGTCTACTAAGCTCAACTGATTGCTCTGTGTACAGATTTCAATCCGAAATTCGAATCAATTTCGATTTAAAAAAAAAAAAAACATAATTGAATAAGCTTAAACCCTAATTTTTTTCCACACTACGCTTTCCATTTTCTCAGCAACCAAACAGAGGACTTAAATTTGAACATCTTATATTTCACGTCGAGAGAAAATCGAAAAAATGATCGAATTAAGAGAGAGGAAAACGAAAGCGAAGAGATAGATAGAGAACGAGAGAGAGAGAGAGAGAGGGATACCAGTAATGTGCAGATCGCATCCTCCAGAAGACTGGCGGCACAATTTTCTGTTTGGTTGACGAGAAAACGTCGCAAGAAAGTGAAGGCGAGAACTTTCTCAGTGAATGCTGGAAGATGCGGAACTTCAATTTACCAGAAAGAGCAGAGGAAATGCCTATGTGGAACATTAGGAGAGTGGAGAAGCCAATGGTTAAGATACACGTGTCGTATTGTACACGTGGAGGTTAGTGAGACGGTTCGTATTGTTGTGCCAACGGTTATCATGGATGCTTGCGTACATCATTCGGCTGTTGGCGCGCGTTGCTCCGTGACTTGATTAACGAACCATGTCCAAGGACCAACCTCACCTTCCATCTTTTCAAAACCATTTATTCGTCTAACCGTTTGGATTTTTGGTTAATTTTTTAAAACATGACCCAAAAATTGTTTGAAATTTTGAATCGTCGTCTTGTTGAGAACATTGGCATTGTTATGAATACCCACAGACACATTGTAAATGCCCTTGCAAATTGAAATAGACTTTGGAAACAAAATGATTGTTTTTTAAAACATGCGAGGTAAATCTCAAACTGTAAGAACCTATTTGTATGGAGCCGCTCTATAAATAGAGCGCTCCGACTGCAGTTAAAGGATATAGAGAGAATACAAAGAAGAAAGAAAGATTAATAACTTCAGTATCTATTCCTCCCTCTTTTATTTGTCATCCTCTTGTGTTATAGTTTATGTGTGATATTTTACACCTGCTTCACTCCTGTCACCAGTAAAGGTTATCTCTCTAACTTTTACATATTATAACACGTCTAATATTATAGAACGAGAAATAGAGTCAAGTAAGTTGGATTATTGAGAAGGTCGGCAGCAATGCCCCAAGGTAAAACATTAGGTGCTTTTTTATTTCTCTCTCGCAATAAGAGATCTTAAGTTCATAGGATATTACATACGTAACCTTAATTCACCCGCTGAATCTAATGATCATTTGATCTAGTGACGATTTTACACTCACTTTATAAAAGAGGTTCCGAGTTCAAATTGCTCGTATTGCGCAGACGATGTTCAGTTGCCAACCGATGTGCGAGATGACTTAAAACCGCATATTACTTGTAATTCGTTCCAAATGAAATGGGAAGTCCAATTTTTCAGTGTCAACTTAGTTCGTTAATGCTCTTTATACAAGAATCCGTAGAAAGTTAGAAACACAAACATAGAAAAGCTATGTGATCCTTTTAACATGTAAGTTCTATTTACAGATATCTAAAGTCTAATTTCCGGCATGCCGGCGAAAAGAAAGATCTGAATTCTTGTTAGTTTACACCAAGTTACAATGCTCATCACCATAATACACTTGCTAATGTAACTTGTATATGGAATATTTTGAAACCAAAGACCGTTTGAAATACCGCTAGAATGACAGCCAATGCTTCTTTCGGGGAGTTCTTGACGGAACATCTGTAAACAGATTCGTAAAAAAGAATCAGAGGACTGATTATATTTGGAATGGTGGCGATACCAAAGAGTCAAGCAGAAACTAATTGCAAATGAGAAGTGTAAGTAATAGTTTAGTTCAGCACCTGCACTTGCATACAAGGAGTTATAATGCACTTCACTCCAAAAGCTCAGCCAAAGCTCTGAAAACACACAAAAGTCCAAATACAAACAATCGCAACCTTGTTAAATTTTTATTACGAAGTTTAAACCCACACGTACATATCAAGTTACGCACTTAACTCCATCCAAAAGCCCAACTTGGCTAGTTTGGCTTGATTTTCCACAGCATATCAGTACCACTTGGTTAATAAATACATTGTGCATTTTCTTTCAACCTTCATGACTTAATTCAAATAAAGATAAAGTGAGCAAATGAGATATACCTCGCGCAGGATTCCCATCTTTAGGAAGAATCTCGATGTAGCAAGTGTCCCGAAAAGAGGTGACTAGACAAATCTTGGCTCTGAACTACAGAAGAATCCGTAACTGTTAGAAACCAATCACTGTGAAACTCAGCATTATATAAAGCGGGAAAGAACAAAACCATTATGGAGTTACCAGAGAGCAAACAGAAGAATCAACATATGCAAAGAAACAATGGTTTACAATTCTTAACTTTGATCTCACCGAAACTACTTCTTAAATAACGGTGGGGTGAAGAAGAAAGCAAGCATTTTCACTAAGTGACCTTAAAAGAACCTGGCGAAGGGAGAAAAAGGAGGAGAGTCAAACTTACTCGATCTGCAGCTGCCTGTAGTGTAAGATGATCTCCCCACTCCCCGGTTCTAGTGCCATAGTTTTGTGTACAAAATCAATTTAATTTTTAGTAACAGTTCAATATATATATTGCAAAATGTCTCAAATTTTTCAGTAAATAATAGGCATGAACGCAGAAATCTAACTTTTTCATCTTCCTCAGGTAGTGTCCGTACTTCATTGGGACATAAGCTTCGTAGAGTTTTTTGTGATGCTCTAGCTGAAACATACAGAAAACGTGCAACCAGAATTAAGCTCCATTTTTTGTGAAATTCGAAAAGCAAGGAAAATTGCAAACATAAACGGCTATCCTCGTGTTACTCCTAAGATTTTGCGTCCACTCCATACAGTGAAGTACTAAGATTTGCATATCAACTACTAGTAATAAATGAAAATATTAGGTCAAGGTACATAACTAAACTAAGTTAAGAAATGAATGGACTGAAAGGAGCTTCTTCAGCCGTACCTGCTTTATCACCTGTTTTCTTACATGCTTGTGGTATTCTGGATTCCGAAACAATTGATCTGCTACTGCTCGAAACTGCAGCATATTAACCAAATATCTTGGAATTACTCGAAAACCCCTCTCCTCCCAAAAAGAGAAAAAGAGGGATGTAAACGAATTAATGTAGGTTGATAAATCAAGGGTTACACCGACTAAACCCAAGTGAACAAAATAACAAATACATAAAATGATAACAATATACATGTGGTATGCCTTTGCGTTTCAAATCAATGTATAAAGATAAATAGAATGTCAACAGATGCAAATCTTTGAAAACAATAAGGTGATAAATTAATTATTGCAGCCAAACCTGACAGTTTCCATCGCCCTTGATCTGCAGTTCAGATAAATCATATGTTGCCAGCCTGAACCAATGAAAAGATATTACAACCAAGATGATTCTTCCTGCTATCAAATCATCCATTTACAAACCCAAGTGCACAACAAGCTGCTCGGTCATAGCTACATCTCTCAGTAGTTCACCACCAAATAATACCCAAAAGGAAAGTAGCAAAGGATACCAGGATATTTGCAATGAACAGTTCACAATAAACCCCACCCCTGCCTTTTCAGAAAAAAGAAAGAAGGATTTTTCTAAAGTTTGTTTTGAGGAAAAAAAATTTGTGAAGTTATGATCAAACTATGTTGTCTAACCCGTTGTGTACTATAAGCACTGAATAAAGGAAAGCTCGTTACAGAAATTGTGTAGAGAGCTCATTACAGAAATTACAACCTTGCTGACAGGCGCTCATGGTCTTGGGTTGCATCATTCACATCAGGTATCTCCCCATTTACCCGGGGAGTGTGCTGCAATGGACAATAAATCAGTGAGTACATATTTATATCCAGTTAAATACCAATAAGCTACCCAATTTTCAGTCAAATGGACAACAAGGTTAGCTCATACGTATATGCACTGCTCAGAAAGTAGGTGGAGAGTATGTTATTTTATCTTAAGATAAAGGAGCAAACAACCTATCTCATACAGTGGAGCAAGAATTAAACAAGTAAAATAGACTTATCGGCGTTTGAAAAATGTCTCCTCAATTCCAACAGACATAGCAATCAATTGCGTATGAGACAGGAAAATAGTGCTCATCTAAAGAGGAAAAATTAGTGTGTCAAAAGTATCAAAGGCCCGCATCTAAGTAGCAACAAGATTTCATATCACATACTACATACATTTCTATACCAGCACAAATTTACGTCTAAAGGCATGTATAAGTAACACCTCCAATTCCCAGTTATCATGAAGTGTGAAAGGGTGTGAATTAGTTAGCACATCCCTATTTTCTGCCTGCATCATTAACTTACATAAAATATACTTGTGTTAATTCACTGCAAATTTTTTTATCACACTAGAATTCAGATGTAGATTTGGTGACCGAAGATCAGCAATTAAGAATGACACTTCAGTTCTGAACTTGGAGATTTTACTCGGAATAAAAACCAAACCAGCTGAGCAGATTCTTGGACTATTCTACTCTGTGCGTCGTCAAAAGCACACATTAGCTATTTCCCACTCATAACAACCAAAAGAGATGGGCTTAGTTTTTCGATAGAATTGATACGACAAATGAATACATATGTTCATATACACACACGCTCTAGCACACACAAAAGATGCCTTATGTTGGCACACCTGTACAATTTTTCAACCAGGGAAGACAACACATTGTAGACATAATGACTAGCGAGGAACATACCGGAATCGAATTTAAGTGGCACAGTCTTTTCCCAAGCGTGCCATCAAATTTCAGCTTTTCCTCTTCTCCCAAGATGATTGCAATGGTTTGATCATCTTCCGTACCGCGAGTGCTGCTATCTAAACTCGAGCTGGAACTCGCACTTGCATTGCTGTAGTTTCCGTTCATACTGGCCCAACTACAAAGATTACAAACACACCCCTGCAAAAACATGTCAAGTGTAATAACTCACCAAAGTAATCCAAAACACAACAACCGCCATGGCGGTAGCTACGAGCTAAGACCCGCAACAATTTCAGAATAATGTACGGATTAATGACATATCATTTTTGCCCCCTCACTTATCCTCCGTTTGGTTGCTGAGAAAATTTAGAAAAGAAATGATAAAAAACGAAAAGTTCGTATCTTTGATTTCTATTATCATCAAATTCTTGAAAGTACAAGGCTTGACTTGAATTGAATGGGAAACACGGTGATTGATCATGACACAATCTGATTTTCTAATTCATTTCACTTTCTCACCAGCCAAACAGTAGATAAAGCGTGAAAGGAAAGCAATTCAATAGCAGCAGCAAAAAAATTAAAATTAATTGAAAAGCACAAAAGTATAAATTGTATAAACAAGCAGAGGGAATAAGAACCTGTAGCTAAATTCAGTTCCTGATAAAAGAAAAAAAAATCCGCAGAGAAAATCTTTGTACCTCTCAGCTGAGCTTTAATTAAATCAAATGAACTTGTTGAACTGAATATTGCAGTCCACAGAAGCAATCCACAAACAGGAAGATCTCAAATCCAAGTTTTCTCTTTGTCGTATTTTCTCAGCAACCAAGCAGGGAATTGAATGAACTACAAGATATGCAACTGAATAAATAAGATAATACAAATACGAATATAATTGTAAATATATTAAATATCTGGGGAAAATGAAAAAGAGGATTAAAATGTGAAACTAATCAGATTTTACAGTACAACCTCTATAAAATCATTAAATTAGGTTGAAACCAATTTTACAATTTTATGGAGGCAATTGCTTAATGGATCATGATAGGGAGGTTAAATTTTTTAAATTAATTTTGCAAATCAAATTATATAGTTGTTGATGATTAGATTATTAACTATTGATTAATGTGTTTATTTCTTATTGCTGACACATCATTTGGTTTGTAAATTTTTAGTTTAAAATTTTTGTCTTCCTAGCATTACACTTGCTTAATACACTTAATACTATAGTCTAGTGATATTCATCTTCACTTGTAAGTGAGATGTTTTAGGTTCGATACTCAACAAAGGCGAGTTTGAGCCATATTATTGTTAGCCCATTATGAGACTAATTCCATCTCTTCCCTTAACGTAGATAATATCGTTTGTAAAAAAAAAAAAAAAAAAAAAAACAACAACAACAAGAACAAAAAACAAAAAACTTTATGTATCCTTGAAGAATGTTGTTTTCTTAAATAGAATTTTTTAGGCGTTCTTCTATGCTCAAGGCCCTGTTGTATACATTGAATAACTTTCTTTTGTTCTCTATCAAATCAATCTGTCATGTAAGATCAATATGAAAAATCAGTTAACTAAAAGTATTGGTATGAAGTAGTGCAAAAAGAAAGCATTAAACGCATCTCAAAGCAAAAATCATAACTATATGAAAGTGTCCTTAATATGTGACTTACAAAAATTATAACATATTACGTTGTGTAGTTTACTCTTATACATAAATTGGTCTCAAATTAGTATAAAATTTTTTAGAGAGTTTTAATGAAATACTTCTGGTACTGTTCACTTTTTAATGAAAAAGTACGTTTTTACCTTTCTCTGCTACTATTCACTACACGTTTATTTATCTTTTTTCCATTAAAACTAAAAAAAATTTAGAATTTTCGTTAGTTTCTTTAAAAAATTTATGACTTTAAAAGGATTATTCTTTTTTAAATCTTTTTTTAAAACGGCTTTACTGTATATATTTTTGGGGAATATCTATCAAGCTATTTTCTTCTGAAATTTGACTTGGTAACCAAATGAAGGGTCAAAATAAAAAATAAAAAAATAAAAGCCAGGAAGGAAAACGTCATTCCCTCTTTTTCGACTGTAAACCAACACAAAAGTGTGTCTCGAATGTGATTCCAAGTTGGTCATTAATTATATGAAAGGGGTTTGTTCTATTATTTGGCGTTTGAGGTACATTTAAGAATATATCAAATGGTTGGCTTCGGTTTTTGAAGTGATCACTTAGAATCATGTTTAAAGAAGCAAATTTTTTAGCAAATGCTGTTATTAGTACGGAATTTATGTATCATAATTTTCATGTTTGGGACAGAACCTTGCCACCTATGACAAAGCATTGTTACATAATTGCATTGGTACTGATTGTAATAGGGGTGATTTTATCTAATTTGTATCTTTAAAATAAAATTTAAAAAAAAAAAAAAAAAAAAAAAAAAAAAGCCATGAAACTAACACGCACAAAGTGAAACAATTCCAACTTAATCATGAATCATGATTTGGAATATCAATTAGAGCCTTTTTTTTATCTTGAGAGTTCAGTGTATGCTGTGATTGGCTATTTTTCGTGCTAGCTACATTTCCTTTATCTTTTATCTTTCTTTTTTTTTCACCATGCAAAATGTTATTTAATGATCAGTTCATCTTCTTAGTAATTCTCCAAGAATTATTCCAACTAAATCTTTGCAACGACCATATCGCAAGTAGTCTAGTGAAAATGCCATATAAAGTTAGGCAAAGCTAGCAAAACACGGTAATTCCCTAGTTAAAAAGATTTAGGAAGAGGTGTGTCATTTGAAGATAGTCAAGGATGGGCTGAAATGTCTTTAACCTTTCAAGGCGCCATTGGAGATTAGTCATATCCTTCAAGGTGTGAGATACCTTAGGCTTTGGCGATTAAAAAAAAAAAAAAACTGAATCTTTGCAATTTTGATTTTTTGCTAGGTGATTTTAAGTGACCCAAAAAATAAATGGTTTTGACTATCAAATCACATTGATAGAAATGAAGAATGGTAAAATAAGAACATCGTTTGTGTATTGTACTCTATATTTGGGATACAAATGATACTTTATTTTAAACCAATCTAACGTGTGAGGAGTAAATTCAAATTCTGATGCAAACTGTGCGCACATCTACTATAGTCAATATAATTACGTCCACATTTATACTCAACTATGTATATAATGACATTCTTTATCAACTAATGAAGTTAATTTTCTCAAACACACCCTTATTCTTCAAGTAACTCCCCTTGCACCAAATGCATGTATCATTAGCCCTAGCCAGTTTCCTTTTATGAATTAATCTCTACTAAATAAAGTACCATAGTTTTCTTACTTAAGTGCATGCCTATGCATGTAGTTGTTTATGTAACTTGTGACGCGTAAAAATTACAAAAAGATTTGGGAAACTTCTTTGTGTTGCTTGAACGTCTCCCCTTTTCTTTTGTGTTTAACTTTATGCGTAGTCCTCATCAAGTTGATTAAGAAAGTTCAAGGAGTCAACTAATTACAACTTAATTAAACTAACTGCAGTCTAAAGTTTTTTAAATTCATTGTAGACGTGCAGTGGCTACATTTACTATAGTGGATATCCTCCTTCATGCACTCAAGTTCAAATCTCCTTCCAACACTATAATTTAATTTGACGTAAGTATCATCCTACATAATAACAGTAAAAAAAAAAAATCTCTCTCTACCAAAATTAATAATTAATCTAGAAATCATAGTCATAAACACCATTATTGGAATACCCAAGTGCTAACTCCTTAAACTGATCAGTGAAAGCAGTGAGATTGGACACAACTCTCAAATTAGCGTCATCTCCCATACTCCTTTCATTTAGCCTCCTCATCCTGTTGCTCATCTCATCCTCCTCCATCACCCTTCTCAATCCTTCCTCAACATCTCTCTGTCCAAACCCACTTAGTTTCACCCCGATCCTCCACACGTTCACAATGTATGAACAATTTACAAATTGGTCCCCAGCCACTGGATAGCACAGGAGAGGCTTCTGGCATTGAATGGCCTCCATTGTTGAATTCCACCCACAGTGTGTGAGATAGCATCCCACCGCCTTGTGTTGCAAGACATCCATTTGTGGCGCCCATGACACAACTCTGCCTTGTTTTGCTACTCTTTCCAAGTACCCAATTGGTAACCCTCCAAGCCATGAAGATCCAAGCACCCAAAGGAATGGCTTTCTCAAAGCTTCAAGTGCCAAGGCCAAGCTTCTCACCTTACCCTCTCCGATTGGACTAACCCAACTTCCAAAAGAGATGTAAACAACTGTGTTAGGGTTTTGCTTGTCTAGCCAGTTTAAGCAGCTTGTGTCTTCTTCCCAAAAGCTAGGGTTCTTGGTGGTTGTGTGCTTGCTTAAAGGACCAATTGGGAAAACAAGTGGTTGTTGGGTTTTGGTGCTCTTAACCAATTGATCACCGAGAAGTTGTTGTTCATCATTGATGGAATATTCATTTGGGAAAGAATTTACAAGGATCCGTTGAAGCGTTTTCGATCGTTCTAGGGTTCTAGTCCAAAATTTGAATCTTCCTTTTCTTGCAGCTGGAGTGCCAATCAACCATGGCACCTCTTCAGTAAAGAGCACAGGCTGATTAGGTAAGCATATACCACCTAGTTGTTTTGGAAATCCTGCCAATAGTATAACAATAGCACAATAGTAGGGTATCACGTTAGTGTCTTAATATTATGAAACTATGGGCTCGTTTGGTTGTGTTTTTTAAATGATTGAAAGCGCTTTTAGAGAAAATATTTTTGGGTTCTAAAAGCACTTTAAGTGCTTTCTACAAGAAACACTTTAAGTGTTTTTCCAGGATTTACTAGTATTTTTACTAAGGATTGTTTCCAAAAATATTTTAATCAAAATCACTTTCAGTCATTTTAATAGCACATCTAAACGAGCTTTATTTATATCAAGGTGTTAACTCATACATATTCATATGTGAGATTCAGTGATGTACAAGATATGGTCTAACTCGTATGAAAAATACGATCAACAATGTGATCAATAACTATAATACATGAGACTTCAGAAGAAATACAAATGACTTTAATTGTTACAGCATTTGAAATTTTAAATGGAATACGTGATTGAAATAAAAGATAAAATGTTCCTCCTGACTAGATGTAATTCTTTTTTATCATTTTTTTTCTTTTCTTGTATTATAAGGGGTAAGGTTATGTGTGACATCCCACATTACCCAAGGGTGTGATCCTTATATGTATATTCTCATCTCTACCTAACATGAGGTCTTTTGGGAGCTCACTAGCTTCGGGTTCCATTGGAATTCTGAAGTTAAGCGAGTAGCGCGCGAGAGCACTCCTAGGATGGGTGATCCATTGGGAAGTTCTCGTGTGAGTTCCCAGAAACAAAACCGTGAGGGTGTGCTGGGGGCCCAAAGCGGACAATATTGTGCTACGGTGGAGTCAAGCCCAGGAAATGGTCCCGCTCGGGCCGGGATGTGACAATTTGGTATTAGAGCCTAACCCTGAGTTGTGGTGTGCCGACGAGGACGCCGGGCCCCTAAGAAGGGTGGATTGTGACATCCCACATCACCCAGGGGTGTGATCCTTATATGTATATTCTCATCTCTACCTAGCACGATGCCTTTTGGAAGCTCACTGGCTTTGGGTTCCATTGGAACTCTGAAGTTAAGCAAGTAGCGCGCGAGAGCACTAGCACTCCCAGGATGGGTGACCTATTGGGAAGTTCTCGTGTGAGTTCCCAGAAACAAAATTGTGAGGGTGTGCTGGGGGCCCAAAGCAGACAATATCGTGCTACGGTGGAGTCGGGCCCGGGAAGTGGTCTCGCTAAGGCGGGGATGTGACCGCATACCGCCGAAGTTAAAAAAAAAAAAAAAAAAAAAGACACAATGTCCCTTAATGCTACGATCTAATAAGATTTCTTTTCACTTCAAAAATAGCGAGTTCACAACCAATTTATTTCTTATCACTTATTATAAATATATCATTGTATAAAAAAAAAATCCAGACATAAAATAATCTATCCACAAGGACACGTGATTTTTCGCAACCAATTTTTTGCCTCGTTAATGTTGGAACGTGTCTATTTTAATTATCTTTAAATTACAAAAATTAATGTCATGTTGAACTAATTGACACACGTACAACGGTGACGAAGTTCATATGCCTTGATTAATATATTCAATTGGGTTCTCATGTGAACTTCCACTGATAACTGATATTTTTGGTCGACCATATATTTATCGGTGTTGTATAAACATATTTATAACCACTGTTCTACAAATCTCCCCTTAGCGCCGCTTAGGCATCGTTTAGGCACTAGACGGTTGATCATCACTTCGATTAAAACTTAGGCATTTGAAATTTAAGAAAGGGCTCCTAGATCGCCTAGGCACCCGTCTAGCCCGTCCAGACATGTCTAGGCACCCACTAAGATCGCGGCTCACTTAGATAGAAAATAGATAACTTTCATTTTGCATTTTATTTTTTTCAATAAATTGTAAGAGACTTGTTGCATACTTAAATGAACACACATTATATCCTTGTTCCCATGTTTTCATTATTTTCAAATACTTCATAATATATATATATATTTGTCATTTTGTTTATAGTTTATGATGAAATTTTATATATTTTAAGTATAAGCAGACACTTATTTACACGAAATATAATAGATTTACTTAAATCCACCTAGTCTGCCTAGACTTTAGGCCCTAGTCCGCTACCTAACTAGCGCCTAGCGTCTTTTAGAATCTTGTTTATAACCTTGTGGAGCTTTTTATATATCCAAACATAATATATAAAACATCAAGTTCAAACTTTTATAAATAAATTAGAGCTACAACCTTTTGGGAAGACTAGCTAATTAGGTATCAATATATGGATTGAACCCTAACAACAATAACGTACTTGTCCAACTTGCTTACCTCCATACATAAACATAATGTCATTTAGTAATACGATCTAGTGGTAGTGCATTTCACTTATAAGTTTTAGGTTCGATTATCTTCAAACGCGAATTTGAACCACATTATTGCTAGCCCATATCGTGAGGCTAATCCCACCTCCTCTCTCTCTCTCGTATAGATAATATCGTTTGTTAAAATACACACACACGCACACACACACACACATAATACATGTGTGTTTAACTGAAGCACATGTGTGTAGATAACATCATTTGTTAAAAAATAAAATAAAAATATACGCGCACACACACACATAATACATGTGTGTTTAACGGAAGCACACCCCATATAACATGTTGTTCCTAATTAGAATAATGCCTACATGTACTATAAAATTATTGACAGACAAATGAAAATTGACATATGTATATATGTATATATTGTAATTTTAATAAGCAACTTGTATGTGTGTGTGTATGTGTGTGCGCGCACGCGCGCATATGTTAAACTATGATTTGTAAATGAAAATAAATGCACTTCTTCTACTTAGGAGCCCAACAATACAGTTTAGTTATTACATCTCTTAGTAGAAGTCTAGAACATATTAATTAAGTCCAAATAATCTATACAAAAAGGTGTGATAAACAATATGATCAAGTTGGAATAAGTAACAATATACTCATATAGAAATGACAACTTGAAAATATAGTACTGATCAAAGGAGTTTTTCATGCCACAAATATATTGACAAATATATCAATTTTTATTCACATGTTGTTGTACTATTAACACAAAACGCTATAGTGCTAGTGTACTTATATCATGTAAGTTGTTCTCCCGAACAAAGACACAAAATGAGGGAAAATATGAAGGAGAAATGAAGACATTGATTGATATCATGCATGATGCATATACTATAGAAAATATATAAACAACTAACCTGTATCAGCACAAATGAGACCTGTCCTGATCATTTCTGGAATTGCAGTGATCAAGCGATAAGTGGCATGCATAGCAGGCCAAAACCCAGCACAGGCTACTCCGCATCGATTGGCTACATCTATAGCCCACGATGCCAACAAATCAACAACAACGCACACAACTTCATCACCATCCTTATCAAGTTGACGGACAAGGCTTTCCAGATGGCTTGGCATGTTGTCCTCCATGGCCTTCTCAATGGCAAAGAAGTCCCTCGGGGTGTCCTTGTCCAATCCATCCGAGATTGGCATGCACAAAACCTTTTCCTTGGGTTCGACTTTTCGGACAATCTGGTGGTGAATGTAGTCTGGAGTGACCATCACTGGCTTGAAGCCTTGGCTAAGGAAGGCTGAAGCTAATTTAAGCATGGGAGTGACATGTCCTTGTGCGGGATATGGAACCAGGATGATGATCGCGTTGGAGTTCTTTACGCACTTCATGTTTCCCATCTCTCTCTCTCTCTCTCTCTCTCTCTCTCACTCTTTCTAATACCGTTTTGGCATGTGTATATGGTGTAGTTCACAAGTGATTTCTGGAGTCAGAAACAAGCCTATGTTTATAGAGAGGGCCGGGAGGGATGAGTCAACTATGCATGTGCAACATGATGTTTACTGTTATATATATAATTTAATTATAAGCCTCTACTTCATGGTCACTCCTTTGGCAACGAAGTTAATTTTAAAATATATTTAACTAGCGCAGTTGTAATGTTAATGAGAAATGCTAAGAAGAAGATTCTCTTAACCAGCGTAACTAACTCAGCTAAACATATTAAAAAGAATAAAAAAAATGCTTGGTTTGCAAGAGCGGCGGATCTTACAGATGCAATATCATCTCAGGCGGAGGGGATCCGATCGGTGGAGATAAGCCAACGGTGGACTCCGTTCTCGGATTAGTGTATGTTTCTTAAGTACCGCATTTAGCGGGTAATATCTCGCCTAGTGATGTGACCTCGCTTGTCAGTGATGGTTTTTGTGGTCTCGCTTGCCAGTGATGAAATTGCGTGTGCCTCAATATAGGTCTGATGCGCCTGCAATCTTTGTGGTGGAATTGACCGAGGTACTTGTACTGGTAGGGAGATGTTTGTGGTAGCCGTTAGGAATTTACTGTTTATGTTTATTTGTGCGAATTATCTTCCAATCAATGTATTGGTCACTAAAAAATGTACTCATACGACAACCCTTGTAATTTTGTTTGTGTGTTCGTGTGTGTTAATGAAAATTACTATTGCTTCTTGTCTTAAAAAACTTGACTTAAATATTGTGGTCTTCCACTACACCCAAATCCAAATCTTTCTTAAAACCATTTAATTAATTAGATTAATTTATATATAGTACAACTTTAATTGGGAAAAATAACCCAACTTGTACATTTGTCTATAATAAGCGCTGTCTTTGTGTTATGTACACACCCCATCAAGAAGAAAGTATCTAATTATAATAATTTAAACAGTAGGAAAAACAATCAAGGCTCCTGTATGAAATCAATCACAACTTACAACTAGTTGCAAAATCATTCACTTCCAAAACAAAAAGATGCATGAACGAGTCCGCTATATATATATATATATATATATATATATATATATATATAATATAACCCCATATATATACCTCGTTTATCCTATCTGGTAAGAAGCTGCCGCCAAATTAGGCCAACCCTTTTCATCTTTTGTTAGGTGGATGCGATCGAACTCCTCTTAAAGCATGCGTTCGTTCATTCATTCATTCCTTGTCCAATGAAACTGAAGTTCGGCTTAGGGGCACCCACAACTCTAATTTGATTGAGGTATGGCCTGCGTTTTTTCCACACGTTTAATGCCATACACCCTTTTCAACTACTTTATGCATCAATCAATAATCCAACTGGCTTTGATGTTTATGTCTACTTTTGTATTTCATTTGTCCTTTTGTTTGAACCATGCCTAATGTGAAGTCTTTTACTAATCACACAAGGATAAAATCTTGACACTATATGCCCATTTGGAAGGAAGGTGATGAGTCCACATTATACCATATATTTTACTCTAATCTCAGTATTAATTTATTGGTTATTATGGTAGAATTTTGATACTTTATTATATATTTCCAATGTAGGATATTCGACTTCCTTTGGAGTAAAAAGTGATCAAAATGATGAATTTTAGAGTGATTTCAGTTAGAGGATGTTTGTGTGCCTTTCAAGATTGTGTCAAAATTCCAGATTTTTCTACCAAGCTGTTTGACCGTGGCGATGAATTTAAGGCTCAGCGCGCATCTTTCCCAAATTGACATTTCTGGACGTTTTGGGTATTTTGGAGGTCAAGATGGCATATTTTGAGAAAGATTCCTTCTGAGGATTTGTAGAGAACGTCTTCAGCTTTTGAAAGGGACCTTTTGGGACCAAATCAAAGTTGATTTGGTTGGTCAAAAGTCCAATTTTCTGAGAAGTCCGAATTTCAGTTCAAATAGGAACCTTTTATTTTCTGTTTTATTATTTTATTATGTTTCCTAGTTTTATTTTAAGACCTTTTCTAGGAAGTATTTTATTTTGTAGTAATATAAATAAGGCTTTTTAGCCATTAGGTTAAAAAGGGAAAACGCACACACTATTTGGAGAATTGCTTTGGAAGATTCAAGTTTATTTTCAAGGTGGTTTATATCCATGTTTTTAATAGTATTTTATTTTATGATTGTTAGTAACTAGTTTCGTTTGCTAGGGCGATACTTTGAGCCTTAGCATGAATATGTAGTTTTTATTTAATTGTTTATGATATTATACATGCATACTTTGAATTATTAATCACTGTGCTTTAAACTGTCTCTATATCTTAATGCTTAGCTACCATTAGGATGTTTAGATAAGTAATTGGATGCAATTCAATCGGAATACCACTAGGGAATTGAGTATTGCTTCTTGTGATTGATAATTGTAATTTCACCTAGGATGAATACCACGTTCTAGGGGTTGCATGGTTTTTCAAAGAGTTTTTACAAAGCGTAATAAGTCATGCATGTTCATATTTGATCTGAATACCACAGACGGATTGCATGTTTGATATACGTTCTAGCTTGAATACCATGAGTAGAATATGCATTAGGAAAACATAACCTTCAAAGTTGCATGTGTAATTCATAAGTAATTGGTAAATCTACATAGGATTGTTAAGGGGACAGCGGAACCCTAGGCTTTTACAATTTGATTTTCCAAACGATTTCTTTTGTTTTCTTTACTTTGTCAATTTATTTAATTGTTCAATTTAAAATTCGTTTTTAATATTATAGGTCATAAAATCAACCTTTTCCAAACTTTATTTTCAAATAATTAATTAAGATTTGGTATTTACATAAATTGTTCATTCAATCCCTACGGAAAACGACCTTACTTAAGCAGTTTATACTACAACTACCTTATTCTCTTGCAAGTATTTTGTGTGATTTTAACCTCTTTGAGCAGGTACCTAAAAATCCTATAAGAAGGATTTCAAATACAGGAATTTAGATGATAGTATAAATTTAAATTGTTTTGTTTTAAACTATTACAAATGATGTAGGTTGAACTTTGGATAAAAAAGGAATAGAAGAAAACAAATTGATTTCAAAATAATTTTTAGTTATTTTGAATGCGTTTGATTTTTTTTATTTTTTTTATTTTTAGTGATTTTGTGGCGAATTTTAGCATAAAGACAAATTCGAATGACAAGAAAAGAATAAAAATTGATCACAAATTTTAAATTTTATTCCATTGAATAAAATATAGAAGAAGACCATAATTTGACGGAGGAGGATTCTCTACCCTCCTAATTTCTATACCCTTTCATGTCCTCCTATTTGAACGGTCACGGTTAAGCCACGTTAACATCTTATATTGATTTTTTAATAGAAATAATAAGACAAAAAACAATGTGTGAGAGGAGGGGATGAAAAGGGATGAGAATAGAAGATGGCTACATAAAGAAAGAATTACGTCTTGTCAAATTACAAGAGTTGTATTTAAGAAGACGTAATTATGAAACAAATATAAAACAATAAATAAACTAGGAAGTAATCTTGAACCCGAGTAAAAAACAGGAAATGAATCATAATCGTTATTCTACTAAAAGAATTTAAGATATAAAACACCAAAGTACCTTAAATAAAAATAAATTAAAAGGAATTGTTATTAGCATTCCAAAAATCTCATTTGGCATTCTAAACTTTCTATAATTAGAAAGAAACATACATAATGTAGAATGAGATTTTTTGAGTGTTAATAACAATTCGCTAAATTAAATTGCTAACTTGCAAACTTTTCCAACCATCGTTATATTTACAGGATCGACTACAATTCTTACACTTAATACAATCCCATCTGACAGCATATATATTTCATGTGAATATATTAAATAAAATATATTGTGTTAATTACATGTAAATATTATAGTCAAATCCCAAAATTTACATCATCTCTTTGATAATTGTCCTTTCAGATGGAGGTAGGCTGTTGGAAACCCACCTTTGCCGACTTTGGATGGTGGAAACAGAAGTGCAAAACGCATGAGAAACTCAAGCTAAACTCCATCTCTTAGTGCGCCATGCATTTGAAAGAAACGTAGAAACACCCGCGTCCTTTCTCGTAAAAGTTGAAGCCTCACCAGCCTTTCACCCGCCAACCATGCAACGTCATATTTACACTTTACACTTACACAATGCCAAAAAGTGAAAGCATGAAACGTGTTGTAAATTCAAACGTCATATATGGTATTCACACTCACAAATATAATTCGACCGGTATAGTTAATATGTGGTTTTTTTTTTTTTTTTTTTTGGTGTCATGAATGAGAGCTCATTAAGGGAAGAGATTTCAATTTTTTTTTTCTAAATAGAGATTAGTTGTGGGGTTCATGCCACATCGAATTTCAATGATCTGAATCATCTGTTTTTCAAGTTGCATCTCATAGACCATTTTTGTAAAATATTAGCCAAATTGGAAATATTTGAGATATCTAATTGAGTTCAAAGAAATTGACAAACACTTTGTTCTATAAGAAACAAAGAAATTTCATGGTGATAATTAAATAGGCAAATGGTTTCTCATTGAATTGAATTTCACAAAGATGATTTATAAATCAAGACTTACAAAATAGACGGTTCAGATTGTTAAAGTTCGATGTGAAGTGGATCCCACAACTAATTCCTTTTTTTTTCTTTAAATAAGGTTCCCTCTCCATAAAGGGCCTGTAGAATCTCTAATCAACTCCTACTTAATATCCTCACCTTTACATGTATTGTTTGAAAATAATTTCATATGTATGTGGCTTAAAATCTTTTATTTAATAAGGAAGTGATGTACCCCGGCTGGATTAATTACCATGTAACTAATTTTTAATTTAATAATTTACATTAGAAGAGGTTTTAAATTTGAATCCTCCTTTGTAAAATGTTTGTAACTCCTCTTTTGTGAAAACAAACCAGCCGCATTGTTCATTTGGAGAGGGATAGAGACATAAAGTGGGAAGCAAATAAAAATAAACGTGGTCAAAACACAAAATGTTTGAAACTCCTATTTTGTGAAAACAAACCAGCCGCATTGTTCATTTGGAGAGGAATAGAGACATAAGGTGGGAAGCAAATAAAAATAAACGTGATCAAAATGTCAATAGCACCATACGGCAACTATTACATTTGAGATCCAGTACAAAGAATAAGAAGAAGAAATTGAGGAAAATCAAACGAGATTTTCTTGGAATTAAAGCATATTTGTATATAACGTATGTCGGTACATAACTACATATCACGTAATTTTGGCATATAAAATTGCAGTTGGAAGTTGGCCAAACCTCAAAAAAAACGGGAGTTTTAATGAAAAGTCCGCGGTACTGTTCATTTTAATAAAAAAAAATCAAACCTGATACTATTCATTTTACCCTTTATTTTGTCCTTATTGTTAAAACTCAAAATTTTCAAGCTATTTCCATTAATTTTCCTAAAAAATAACCACCCACCAGGAAGAATAGAAGAGGTCTTTCCTTTTGTATAAAAGTTGGGATATGACTTGTAAAGCTATTACTCGGATATAGTTCAGGTTAAAATTGCTAACAAAGTTTTATTGGTGGTCACCAAAGCAAAAAGAATAGGAGAAATTTTTCATTGTGACAAAAACACAAGTGTTATACAATGTGTTTTATAGAAATTGTGAAAATTTTTATTTTTTAAGTTGTGACATCCCGTCCCGAAACTATCAAACCGTACATGTAAATTTACCGTTTTACCCCTAAATTGTCTTATTACGTTTTTTTTTTGGTGTTTTGTGTGGTGTGGACATGAGTGGGGCCACACACACACATCCACCTCTGCTTCCTCTCTCCCTCCCTCTGACTTTCCTCTCTCTCTCTCTTTCTCCCCCCCCCCCCGAGTCCACTATTCTTCTTCTTCTTCTTCTTCAAATTGGTACGGACACACACACACTCACCATATTCCACACAGATCGAGGAAACCAAGGGTGTAGTTGTGATCGTGAAGTCGAGGGGAGCACGGTGGTACCATTTTCAGGTAGGGAAACCACCATTTTCACGTTGATTCGAAGTTTTCCGTTTTGAACACTGTTCATGCAAACTTAATCTAGCATGTTTTTGGACATTCTAAGCTTGTAGATGTGTTAGTGAGGCCTCAAGGAGCTTGGGAATGCTTCGTTGGGTGAATTTGGACGTCGGGAAAGCTTAGTTCCAAAGTTGGCCGAACTTAGATCGTTGTTGCAGGTGAGATTCCTTGATTTTTAGGCCTTAAAAGTAGTCTAACGTGATTCTACTAGTCCTAAGCTTCGTTTTGGTATAAAGAACGTGAAAAATGGTTGAAAAACGAGTGAGAAAACAAAGTTTGAAAATTTTCCAGTTTTCCGGCGACGGCGGCGGCGCAGACGGCGGCGGCTCGCCGGAGAGGACAGGGGAATATTCCGTTAAGTTTTAACGGAATATTCCTACAGGACTAACGGCGTCAGTTAGGGAATATTCCGTCAGTCAAACGGAATATTCCGTCAGTCAAACGGCACGTGGCCGCGCGTGGGGACGCGTGGGGGCGCGTGACGTGTCCAAAAATTATTCCAAAAATATGGTTGTGATCGTGAGGTTGTGTAGGTCACGTTGGTATATTCATTTGTCCATTTTGAGCAATGTATGAGAAGTTATTTTGAACGGACAGTTATGTGCTTTAAAGTTAACGTTTTTGTAGTTAATTCGCATATAGGTGACACGTATCCCGAGGACGAGCGTGCACATTCGAGGCAGGGGGGCTACGACCCTTCTACTTACCAGTGAGTGGGCTTTTGTTTTCCGTATATACCTATATACATGTTATTTCCCAGAAATTAGTATAAATACCTTGTTTTACGCCGAAATTTTATATGATTGATGACTATGCATGATTAGTGGCATATGAGTTGGTTTATATATTTATTCTTACGTCATTTACATATATGTTGGTGCTGCGGCGGCCTAGGTAAGTGCCAGGTAAGCGTTGTTT